GGGGGGGGGGGGGGGGGGGGTAGAAAATAGAATGAAGGTAGAATACAGAGAAGAGACCAAGGGATGATTCTCGTTCTCGAGAGATTTGCATTAAATTGTTTTTCCATTTTCTCGGAATTCTAACGATTATCCGACGCCAACGGTAAGATTACCAAGACGAGCGATTCGCCCAGGATATAGCACTAGACAAAATCGTTCATCCTTTCTTCTCTCAACGACGTAAACAGAACTCAATTACTTTTCGGTACTTTTGGCAAACGTAAGTTCCGTCTTTGTAAAGAATTTACTACTGTCCTCTCGACGGGCGTCCGTCATTTTGTTTTAAAGCTCTAAAAAATTTTCACGAAGTTTCATCCACAACGCTTCTTCTTAAACCATCGATCTGTTTATCGCTAGGATCCTATCAGTGCACACATATCACAAGAACGATTTTCCCATCGACTTGCGTTCATCCGTTTGTCGCGTCCTCGTGGCATCCCTAATTGTAGCTGGGCATCGCGAGCTATGCCGGTTACTTTATTTCCTAACGCTTGTCCCGTCTCGCTCAGTCTCTCCTTTCAAAGTGGACTCGAATTATCGGAGAACTTTGTTATCGCTCGCTTTACACTGGTACAGTGGAAAATGAGGGAATAGATGAGAAAGACAGACAGACGGCGGAGCGAGGAAAAATGAGAAGGAACAAGATGCACGCGAAACAATTTAATGGCCACGACACCGACGTGAATTTCATGCAATACGTTGGCTTCTACCTATGTCACAAGCCACACTTGGATAAAGAATCCAGACTAGATTTTCTTTTATATGGAAACACACAACAAGACTATTGTTTACTTTATCAGGTAAATTTAGACACTATTGTTATATGAATTTTCACTTTATCGCGAGTCTAATGAACTGCAGGGTTTTAACGTCGGACATTTAGCGCCTTTATGACTCTTTTTTTTTATTGTTCTTATATTTGTGATTTATACACGGAATGTTTGTTACACATTTTTCTGCTTCATTTTTCCCAATCAAAATTTCTTCTGGAATCACACGAGTCGCTGACTGACGACGATCGCGAGTGCGATTACAAAATCACGGAGGTTGATGGTTTCCTTTTTTTAAGTTCTAAAGGTTCTCTTGACCTTTCAATTGCTTTTCACTCTTCACTTTGAATATTCAAGAATATGGAAAGACGTCAGTACACTTTTCGTAACACACAAAGAATACTTATCGACGGAAAGCCACGACGGTAGATTTTACACGTCCGCTGTTTGAATCGTACCACTTCTCTATCTTTTTGTTTCACACATTGACTTCCATGTAATGCAAACGCACGTACACGATATCATGACACTTCTTATTTTGTCCTTGAAACTTAGGTTAATTGGAACATCACTGAAGATAATCGTGTCGTCTATTGTCGGTTTATTTATGAAATTATTAAGCACTTTCACGATAATTTAGTTAAAAAAAAAGATTTTTAAATTTCACAATTTTCACAACGAACACCAAATATGTCGCAACGCACGATATTATTTACATATATTTCAGTTTTGTCACGCAGGTAACTCCGTGCCCACAAAGAACTTGGTAGCCACTGAACTCGACGGCGGCGCCCGTGCCTCGCGTAATATTGAATATTTCGTAAAAAATAAAGAAACGTCGGTTACCCTGGAAATTTTCGAAAAAAAATTTGTTTCTATTGCGCAGAATAGTGAAATCTACACGATTCTCGTGTCGTTGTCTTTGTAGGTCAAATCCCTGAAAAACGTAAGGACAGGATGAACTTGGGGATGGATTTTTCGAAAAAATAAGAAATTTACACGAAATTTACATTTTTCTCCCTAAATTCTCTCGAAGCCGTACGAAAATGCTATTACAAATTTCGATATGCAATTCAAACCTTGTCTATTGGTCTCGAAAACTTCTTCTGGCTCTCCAACCTCTAGTATATT